ATTCGGAGGAGGCCTAATCTATGGGATCTTATTGGCCTAGTGGAGGTAATTGGCAGTAGATCAGAGCAATCCAACAAATTCTTCCACTGCTCAATCCACCTAGCAAAAATGTCCTTTGATGTTTACTTATGAAATATCAGCAAAGCGGAAAAACACTTGACTGGCCAAATTGGAAGATGCCACAGGCAAAATTGGGGACACGTGAACCATGTATAAGAATGAACCTTATTTCCATTTCTCTTGCTATACATCAAAAGGCAGAGCACCTTCCAAAGCCACTCAAAGCAATATGAGTCATTCCCAAAGTATGTTTCATGATGTTAAAGATTATTGTTATTGCTTTTATTATTAATGTTTTAAATCAGGGGTGTCAAACTCAATTTCATTGAGGGATGCATCAGGGTTGTGTTTGACCTTGAAGGGCCAGGGTGGGCGGGACCAGGGTGGGCGTGGCCAGCTCAACTTCACTCATATTGGCGCCCTGCCTGTGGTGGCCCGAGCACTCTGCCTGCAAAAATGGGCTCCTGAGCACCATTTTCGCCTGTGACGGCCTCCTGCAACCCTCTGCCAGCAGATATGGAGCTTGGGAGGGCTGCCTATGGGCCAATCCTTCACTCTTTCCAGCATAGCTCCGGGGCCCAGATCTAAACACCCTGCAGGCCAGATCTGACCTGGCTTTAAGTTTTAAATGATATGGTGCCCTTCAAAATCAAATTATTAGATATTCATCATTTGTTATCCCTATATTGTGGGTAATTGAGCAGGGTGAACGTGCTTGCTCTGATGGGCATAGGGTCTGGCATGGAGGAGATGGGGTGGGTGTGAACTAAACTGAAAATGCCCACAGTCATTTTCCAACATTTTCCGCCACAGTGGCCCATAACCGTAGCTTGAGTATAGATTTGTTCTCCGAGCTTGTGGGTTGATTCTCAAATATTTCGTTACCAGGCTGTAAAAAGTTTAACGATAAAGTTTTGAAAAGGTTAGAAAAGCCAGAATTGGGGAGCTGGAGTGGCCCTTTACCTTGTTGACCCGCTCTGTAGATTGGTTTGTCTGTCTGGATGAAAAGTAGATGCTTTGGCTTCTCAAGTTGCACCCTTTTGTTGACCGGGAAACTGTGGCTTGGGAATTTTACATACAACTGGAGAATGATTTCCGATGGGGGAAAAATGTTGCTCACTCTGGGAACCTGCAGGATGAAGAGACAAAAATCAAATAGTTTGAGAGGTATCGTTATCATGATGTTCCATTGCTTCATGTTTGCATTATGTTGAATGAAACAACCTAAGGGGAAGAGAGACAGACAGACAGACAGACAGACAGACAGACAGACAGACAGACAGACTTACCTGGAAAGGAACACATTGAAATGCATCTTTC